ATATGACTGAATCTGAAATAAATAAAGGAAAAACGAGGGTAAATTGGAGTTTAGTTTTTTTTTTTTTTTTTTTTTTTTTTTTTTTTGTTGTTTTTTTTTTTTTTGTTTTTTTTTGTGTTGGGGTGGGGGGGGGGGGGGGGGGGGGGGGGGGGGGGGGGGGGGGGGGGGGGGGGGGGGGAGGATGGAGGAGGCCTGTTTATTGACGACTTACAAGACACCATTCAAAGGACAAGAGTCTTCTCTCCTATTTTTGCCAGATGGTGGATGACAACAGCAGGAATATTTATTCTAACGATCAACTAGAAAGAAAAACGATAAAGAAATATTGCCGCTGTTTAATGAGAACATTTAGATACTGATATTCTATATAACTATTGATATTTGCATTTCGTTTACGAAATATATAACATTTTTAGTATTCATTTGATATATATATATATATAAATAAACTTCAATCATACATATAATAAATAAGAATGAGTATCAATGACATTTAGGATAAGAAAACTTTTCTTTCTTTTCTTTTTATGATTATATCAAAACTACAATTAACAATATACTATTAATTTATTTCAAGCTTTTAATTAGAGACTATTGAGATTGACAAAATACTTAGCATAAGTTTCTATTACTTGTATTATTTTATTTAATAACAAATTTTTTACAATTAAAAGTACATGATCACACATACATGATAATAAACAAAAAACCAATAAATATGTTAGCAGAAGTAGAAGTACATATCACAAAAGCTGTCAGAATATGCTTAAGAGATTAAAAAAATATTACACGTATGACCTTGCACATAAAACGAGTTTATTTAGTGTATGAGTTTTAAAGTATGTGAATCGTTCTAATAATATTACTGAATCTAAATAATGATCGACATATTATTGCTGTGAATAAGATGTATGTATAAGAATAAACAAAACCGAACGACACGAGACTAAGACAAGAAAAAAAGGAATGGCGAACAAGAGTGCTAAAAAAAAAAATATTCCTATTGTTTTGTATTTTTCTCACTTTTATAATTTATACATAGATAATAAAACGTGAGAACTTAAGATTTAAATGGTCATAATATTGCGTGTTTCAAATAAATAATGAAATTTAATAAAAATAAATTTCTACGTTTATTTTTATTTGCCTCTTTAACTAACCAATCATATTTTTAGACATTTTTTATGCTTCTTATTGATACATAGATACTCGAAACGTGTTGTTATTTGTTATTTTCTTGCCGATTTGTAATTGCTGATTAAGATATTTCTTTTGAAAAATATATTAATTAACTATGCCTTCGTATGATGATGATTTACCTACACAAGAAGAAGAAATTTTATTAAAAAAACTTGTTGAAAATGGTGAAGAACAACAACGAATACGTGCTATTACTGAGGTAAGAAAAAACATGAACAGTGTCAATGAAAATTTAAGTTTTTAGATATTCTGAATTATTTTAGAACATTCTAATTTACATTATTCAAATAATAAATAATTAACATTGATAAAAAAAATACAGAGAATTAAATTTGTTGCGTACAGATAATTATTTTCTCATGATTTTGATTCAAAATTCTGTATTAAAACAAATTTTTGTATTACAAAAACTTCAGCGAATTAATCTCATCATTTTGATTGATTATAAAAATAGTTCGAATGTATTTTAGCATTTTGAATAATTAGATTTGTACTCGAGTTTCTAATAATCGTCATATTTAGATCGACATCTGTAGTATTCAACTCGAGTGGAATGTTAATAACTACGCAATACCAGAAGTCATAAGATTCTAGATAGTATAATATTCTACGTATTAATAAGTATAAATTTGAAATAGATTTGATTCGAATTTTTTAAAATTAAAATCGAATTAATCTGAAACTGAAATTAATATTATTACAAATTGTCTGATTCTAAATAATTGTTATCTAAACACTCAAGTTTTCGTGGGAGTATTTATCCGATTGGTTATAATAAAAAAAAAAAATATCTGGTCTATTATTATAGAAATAGGACGAGATATATAAATTAATATTTTCTTTACTTGTGATTTGTTGTTATTCCATTTATATTAATACCGACAAGATATTCATATTCTATTGAATTTGATTTAAGTAATCATGATGTAAACAGTTTTTTTTCTACAATCAAGTATATAATTGTGTTGTTCATGTTGTATTTTTTTTTTCGAGGGAAAACCACAAGAAAATTTATGAATATATTCATTGTTACTAATGACACGTTGTTTTTTTTTATTTATTTTTCTTGCTTTATATGTCTATAAAATGATTGGAACTATATCGATTTAGCTAAGAATCGACTTGAAATTAAGATAGGTTTTTTAAATCTGTCAATTGAACTATGTCCCTCTCGCATGTGAATATCATGTCTGATTTTGCATTACGACTATAAAGATATCCTGATGACTCATTCTCAAATTCATATTTAAGGTAGGCGTCATGACTAAGTTCAGATGAAATAAATAAAAATATACTCAGATTGATACTGTTAATTTCATAAAATGTATAAATATATTCGATCATGTTGTATGATTCTATATGAATATGATAATTGCACAGTCTCTTGATCTTATTTATATTTTTCTTTTAGGTTAAAAACTTAGTAATTGGTTCAAAGCGTTGTAAGACAGCATTTTTTCGTGTTGGTACAGCTGAAACACTTTTTAATTTACTTAAAGAATTTTCATCATTAAATCATACTGAATTACTTATAGAAATAATTGATTGTATATCATCATTTGTTAAATCAAATGATAAAAATATTGTTAATCGTTTAATTGAACTTGGTTGTATACAACATTTATTTACATTATTATCATTAGAAATTGATTCAATTAATTTATGTGAATCATGTCTTCGATGTTTACGTTCATTTTTTCTTCCAAAATTATCATCATCATCATCATCATCAACAACAACATTTTCACAAGTTGATTATTCAAATCCATTTTTAACACCAATACCATTTGTACTTTTATGTGATCAAGATACACATAAACCTCCATCATCTATAACACAATCAGAACAATTTTCTTCAACTACAGAACTTACTTCTAATGAACAATATTCACCTATTGATATTTTATTTGAAAATTCTCAATTATTTGATATACTTATTCGTTTATTATCAGTATCAAAATCTTCACAATTATCAATTGTAGAAATTTTATGTTGTTTATGTGTTAATAATGAACGACAAAAAGAGTTGGTTGACAAAAATATTATACCAGCTATAATGCATTTACTTGTAGAAAACATTAATGATAAACAACAAACTTATCATAATAATAACAAAATTAGTCAAGTCAGGTAAACAAACAAAAACAACAAAAAATAATTTATAAAACTCAGTAAACAAATGATTCATAATTACAAAATATTTAACTTCATCATATCTCTTAGAAGATTTTTACTACAGATCTATGTCATATAGTAAACAAATAATATAGATCACAACTATTTTCAAAGACTAATTTTCGATTGTTCTTTCACTCAGAAATAAAATCTATAAATATAGCAAGAAATATTAAAAATTCAGTACCAGCTGAACCTTATGATTTTAAGGCTACGCAAGCAACAAATGACAATAATCGGTCTATTTGAAACCTTAATGGATCGACAATTGACTCATCAATAGCCGAAATTGGTCGGTTAACCTATTTAATAATGAAGCTGATGAACATGTGACGTTCGGATTTTTTTGTTAGTTGTCGTCATCATAAAGAAACCTTAATTAACTAACATAACGGTCTTCATTGTAAGCTTTTAACTTGTTCATCGGCTTCATTATTAGATTGTTTATCGGTGATCGATTGTTATTGTTGCATCCTTATTTGAGATATACTAATAGTATGAGAATAGTATCAAATATGAAAGTTGAAGTAAATTATTGAAGGAGATCTTTTAAAGTATTCATATATTGTTTCGTTTGTATACTTTTATGGTACTATCAGCGGACATAGACATTCGTATGATTTCATCATTAATCTTTTACTAAAATTCATGTCGAATAATATTTTTCTGGTTTATCTATAAACAAAGTTTGCTCGAAATTGATTCCATCAAACATATTAAGTTTCGTTGTACTCAAAACGTTAATAATCAAAAAATACTTTAATTTAATTTTATCACATATTTAACCCAATCGTGTTCCAATGAACATAGCGTTAGACTTTTCTAATTAAAAATTAGTCAAACATAGTTCTTCTACAATATTGATAAAAATTTGCTTGATCGATACTTTTCACTATTGACTTTCACTTCAAATATTCTGACGAAAATTCTGTTTGCTTATATGATTAGAAAAATGGAAATGGTTTGAGATAAGAAAATAAATTCTTATGATTGAATAAATTATTTATTTTCTTTTTTTTTTTTTAGTTTGACAAGTGAATATATTGTTGGAGCTTGTTTAAAACTTTTTTGTTCATTATGTTATCAAAATGCTTTTATTGCTCAACAATTACATGATACAATACATACAGAAACAAATCAAACATTATGTGAAATAATATCAAGTTTATTAACTAGAATTCACCGACCTGTTGTTATATCATATTATGCAGCAAAATTTTTTGTTAATCTTTGCAAAACAAAGGTGCTATCAGCTGATCATCCATCTGTTTCACTTGAATCATTAACAACATTAATTCATTTATGTACAAAATCAATTATAAATAAATGTGTTTATTTATATATTGAATGTCTTGATACACTTATTTATCTACTTAATGGAAATAGTACATTACATCATATAGCTATGTATACAGAACAATTATTAAGTAAATTATTTATTTATATATTTACACCAACAAAAGTTCTTGATGAACATGTTGATGAATCAGTAATTGTACAAATACGTGCATCATCATTAACATTACTTGCTGTTCTTTCATCACATCATGAAGATATTAAAAAACGAATTGCTGAACAAGAAAGTATGGCTTTTTTTTTTTTTGTAGAATTTTAATGAATAAGTTATCAATTTTAGGAAAACCAGTTTTTTCTAGCAAGAAATTTTTTTTCCCTTAAAATCGTTTGATCCATCCAAATTGTTGAGCATGTTGAATTGACTGTAGAACTCTATATTTCTCCGTTTGAGATTCATCACTAGAAACATAAGTCTTTTTTTCTTTTGTTCGTTCTAGTTTTTACAGAAAAAAGTAGAGTATTTTCCTCTATGAATCAGAAGGGAAATGAAACAATTATATTTCTAACGACCTCAGTGACGGTTCCGAAAGGAAAAAAAAAATAGAGATCTGTAGTCAATTCGGTGTGCTCTACAATTTGAACAGATCACAAAAATTTTCTCGCTAGGAAAAACTGGTTTTCCAGAAATATATCTCTAGAATCCTATCTGTCGGTTTCGTATTAATATTCAAAATCAGGATGGTTCATTATCTATAACACATTAGATTTTGTAGCAACACGGATTAGACAATTTGAGACCTTCCCTCGTTAGTAGGAATCAATGACGTAATCACACGAAAGTCAAAAGAGGCTTCAGTTCTAAAGGGAAGCAGTATACTTCAAGTCGAAGAGTATTTCAAAATATGGAGAAATGGTTTTAAATATGTCAGGAGCTCCCACTTTCCCAACTTTCTGAAGAATGGTTCAACAAAAATATCTTAAACTTTCAGGTTAGATAGGTTCTCGATAAGTAGAACAAAAGTTTTCAAAGACTTTAAATTCTCAAATAAATCCCTCTAGGAAATATCTGGGTTGCAAAGACTAAAAGTCGTTCCACTTTCTCAAGCGCAATACGTTCGATAAAGGTGGAATTTTTTAAATAAATACTTGACACTGTTTGAGTTACCTATGTTTTTGAGTTCTTGTTTTGTCCGCTTCCATTCGAATTAAAAGATCAAAATATTAGACATACCTACAAAAACACATGTTTTATTTTTGGAAATTCTGCTAAAAATCAACGGTGCAATATTTTTCAAAGCAAAAAAGAAAAGCACGTCAAAGAGTGTTCAATAACGACAAAAGAAAAAGTTTCAGCTCGATCTAACATACTGTGTCGGAGAAACAGCGATGATTCTGTAATTTTTTTCATGTATGAACAAGGGGTTTTTCTTCAACTGAAGTGATGTAAAATTGGTGGTGCTAGGGGCTCATGAATCATGCTCTTAGTACCTCTGAAATATGGAATAATCATTATCATTAGAAAAATTTTACATCCAAAGACTAATCATAGTGAGAATTGAGTTTTGATAAAAGTCCTACCTAACAACAAAGAACCTTCATTTATGTGACATTTGACATAGTACACTTCGAATTTATAGCAAAACTTGAAAAATTTTTCCTTTCAACATCCGAAAAAAAGAGGGATCTATTGGAATTTTTTTATAATATTATAATTTGTATTGCTTTTTCTCTTATATAGATTGAATTTTTTTTAAAGGTAAACACCAGTCGTAATTCGAGTGGTCGACTTAGTATTCGATTAACTGGAGCTGATGAATATCTAGTTTTTTTAATGTGATATTAGTGATTTACAGAAATAAAACGACCTATAATAACAATATTTAGCATGTGTAATTGCGATTGTATTATGAAACTTTGAAGTAGTTTCAACTAACTAGAAGTACTTTTAAGTAGATGAAAGTAGTTTGAATTAACTCATAGTAGGTTAAAGTGGTTTAATGTACGCTGTTTCACCTAACTTGAGCATCTTCTAGAAGTATTACTCCAAGGTCTCCATGTTTCTTGCAGACATGATTCGATGTGCTGAACTTCCATTACAACTTTTCTGATTACACCCATATTACAAATATATGCCATCATTCGAAAGAGACTTTGAAGATTGTTAATGATTATATTGAATTGAATATAAATAAAAAAAATTGTTTCTGTGAATTATCTGAATCAGTTTATAGGAAGATTTTTTTTTTATGCGATCTATATTAATTAGTTTGATGTACCTGACAATAAATTACATATAAAAACTTGAGATTAATAAGATTTTAATTATTTATAAAATTTTTGTGATACGATAGAAGTATTTTCTCTGCTATTGATGATCATCGGTTTGATCATTCCGATACCAAATCTGATGGAATCCTTTTAGTTCGTATTTCAAAGAATGACAGTAGAAAAAACTTGTTGACAGTGATCTACAGTCGTTTGCCGAACTTATAGTGATCATTCTAGGACGGACTATTTCTTTCAATTATAATCAAAAAAAAAAGGAAAAACATAGAACCGATACATAGTAAAGAAAATTTTGATGACAATAAAAAATTATTTCGAACTATCTATTAGTAACTTCACTAATGCTCTAATTAATCATAGATATAATTAAAATTTATAAATATTTTGAGAAATGATTATTTAACAACTAAATATATATCTTTAGATTTAATTTCAACGGCAATTGATTGCTGTCGTTCACCTCATTTATCACTTCAATTAGCTGCTCTTCGCCTTTTTCATGGTTTATCACGAAGTGTTCATCAACTTCGTACAACATTTAATGATACAATTTGTGATATTTTACTCGATGCTATTAAATCAAGTGATTTATCTATTGTGAAAATATCATCATGTGTTATTAGTAATATTGTTCTGGAATTTTCGACTTGTCGAACGGTAAATTATTATCGAAAAAAAAAAAAAATTTCGTTTATTATTTTATATCAATTAAATTTAGAGACTACTCGATGGTGGTATACTTGAAATACTTCTTAATCTTCTTACACATACTGATCATGATTTGTGTATAAATAGTATATGGGCTTTACGAAATCTTTCGTATTTATCAGTACTTAATACAAAACAAGATATAATCAATGGTAAAACAAATTCAATTATTTTAATATATGGGTGCGACCAACTGGCAGGAGGCCCCATTTCGATACACTCCTATTGTACGGATAAAACATACTATTGTTCGGGGCATATAAGAGAGGATCCTAGATAACCCTNATCTCTGAAACCATGATATGTATGAAGATGAAACTTTCACAAGATGTGTAATTATTAGTCATAATTCATATCCTAAAATTTCAGCTCGATCCGTCTGGCGCAAAAAAAGTCGATTTTTCAATCTCGCTTGATATGTATCTATTCTGAAGATTTCAAATTTATTTTATGAGCTGCTTTCCAAAAAGTGTTGACAAGAAAAGAGCAGTTCTCTCAACAATTTCCCCTAAGAATCAAGACTCTGATAGATTTTTCTTTACGATATTGTTTATTGTCGTATTTACATAAGTCTCTAGTGAATAAGGAAAGGCATGATATTTTCTTTCATCTCTTCCATATATATAGAAAAGGTATCGTTTTCTTGTTTTCAATCATAGATACCGATAATATAATAGTTGCCATTGATCTATATAAAAAAAAAAAGTAATTAATTTTCTACAATAGAATTTACAGTGTCATTGTTCTTGAAATATTGCAATCGATCGTCAAAAGTGTCGCGATTTTGATGACGTGAGAAATATTATCGTAGTAAAAAATATGGCCCAATCGATTATAAAATAATATAAATTGTTGCTTTTTATTTATTCAAACTCTAACAGTTATCAACTTTATCAATTTAGTTCTAGTAAGACATACATCGAACCCAAAATTTAACTCGGTGTTCGGATATCTTCTCAAACCTTTCTTTAGATATATATAGATGATTATGAAAACATCCTGTGGTTCAATTAAGTTCATGCTCGAGTATTTCTCAACATTTTAGATTGTTTTTAGTACGCTTGAAGACTTTCGGTTTTTGAATCGATTTATACTACTCTGTGTAGATCTGACATAGTCAAGTTTGAAAATGCTTTCTTTCGGCTTATTTCTATTTCTTTTTATGCATCGACTGAAAATGATTATTAGGATAAATATGAAAGCATGTTGTCTGTGTTACCTAGTTTTCAAATTTATCAACAAATAGCTTTAATGCTTGAAAGTTTTTAATAATTCTATGGATAATCTTGAGGATACACGTCAAATGACAAAGAAATAAAAAAGTTATTTGAACTTTTATTCGTAATTTCGAATATTATAATTAATAAAAATAAAACTTGATGAAACGAAAAACAAAAAAAAGTTCAACAGAATTTGCTATGTAAAATACTATCATTGTAGTGGAATTATAGTTGATCATAAAATATTGAGAAAACAATAAATAATTGAATTTCGATCTAAAATTTGATTCTTATATCAAAGTTCTCAATACATTAGAAGACTTCATCTTTGTAAATTGATTTTTTTTTTCACCAGAATTTTGAGTTTATTGATATTTTTTAACGCATATATAATTATTTTCATATGTGTAAGTTCAGTGTAGGCAATATTTTGCTTCCATCGTTTTAGCGATGCACCAGGTCTGAATTTAAAAAAATAGGAAAGAATATTTTATTGAAAGCATGTCGTCCTATGTCACTTCAGCGCTCTTTTTGAAGCATACTTGAAAGAAATTTTTAGGTTTTCGACAATAAGAAAAACAAAACGTTCCCATGGGTATAGAAATTAATTAACACAATCCACAATTGCACAGATTACAAATGAAGAGACCTTTTTAAAATAAGAAGACATATTCAGTAAAATTACTTTATGTATTATTAATTAAAAAGTCTCTTCGTCTTTACACTTCCTTGTAGAAATGCAAACACCTTTTTTCTGTTACAAAGAAATTTATTCATAATTAAAGAAAACAAAATCTTCGAACACATACATCATCGTATGTTATATCTTTTTTGCACTGATATAGAAAAAGCCGTTTTTTTGAAAGCAGACACAAAAAAGAAGTTCAAAAAACATTGAATATATATTTAACTGTTGTTTTTTCTTTTTCGTCGAAAACTACATTCATTTAAGTTACCTAGGATCTAATAAGTGTGCTCGTAGTACTTTCCACCGTGAATCTATGCTGTCTTTATTAGTTCAACAGCACTTACCATCACAGACATTAGGAGTTCAACAGTAATTGAGGCAGAATTCGAGGGTATTCAAGGCATTCTACAAAGATGATGACTCAAAACACTGGCACATATAACATTACTAAAAAAGTTATTAAAGCTGACACATACAATCCCTCATCAGGGAATTCTATTTGATTTTCTTGAAATCTTTGCTCTAAAATCAGGAACCCTTGAAACATGATTACACACAAGCCTACTTGATAATCCTATTTCTGAACAATGTGTATATCTCTACAAATTAGTATATATCCGAATCAGAACGGATTCTTTTTTCTCACAAGAGAAATGCTTGTTGACTCACACCGCCCTCTATCGATGCCTGATCGATCTATTGCGACCTCATCCAAATGATTAAATCTCATTCAACCTGTCATTAAACTTGAAAAAATTAGAAATCAACTTTTTACTTTTCTCTTCATTTTTTATTTGCTTTTCGTCAGTATTATTCAACATAATCTTAAATACCACGAAGTTGTTAGATTTCTTTCATTGAACTAACATCATGGTGAAGGTAAAATTATTTATCAAATGGTTGATCACATGTGATTAGACTGTATTTTTTTTTTTGCGCTGTCTTTATCTTTTTACACATATTCGTTCTTATATTGTATACTATATCGTCAACCTTCTTTCTTCTTGTTTCCAATATTTCGCATCATTGAACCTACGTGAGTTATGCCATATTAAAATTAGTACTAAAATGTTTTCTTTTGCTCCAAAAACTTAGTTATTTTCAATATCACATAAAGCATATTGAAAACTTGTTTAATCTTTTTGTTTTCCATATCATTTAATAATAAAAATTTTAAGTTCAATTTAATAGAAAATAAACGTATCCAGATTTTCTTTATTATTCTATGACCTTGATTGAAAATAACTAAATTCCAGATTGTTTTCGTTCTTTGTTACTTCGCACTCTGACGTCAAGAACAGGAAAAGAAAAAAAGTTCTTTCTCTCTTTCTTTCTCTTTTTTACGTCTATACTCCTGTTTTCTTCATGAATCATTCTTTTTATGATACATTACCGACACTACAAATATGTCGATTGACTGAATAAATAGAAACAATTTCGTTTCGATAAGAACCAAAAATTTTGGGTTTTTCCTTGTATTCTAGATTTTTCTTACTTCAATTTCATATAAAAATATTGCTTCATCATCTTTTCTATTTAGTAAGTCATTTTCTTTTTTCATCGCTTGAAATTATAAAAATTGTTGATTTATATATATATATATAGAACATTCTTTCATTAAATTAAGTCAAGCTGTTGCCTGTACACAGTTGAAACCAAATAGACATTGTTCATCATCATCATATATATATATTCATTGAGCACACCACATGGAGCAGCCCGAATCAAATCCGACATTTTGTACAAATAATTGTGGTTTTTATGGTTCATCACAGTTTGAAGGAATGTGTTCTAAATGCTATCGTGAACATGTCAATCGTTCACTAACCACTGGAAGAACGAATTCATGTAATAGTATGTTGAAATTTTTATTTTTTATTCTTTCACAAATAAAAAGAATATTTTTATTTTTAAAGGTTTTTATACTTCTTCTAATACTTCTGTGACATCATCATCATCTCAAACACTTCTACCTAACACATCTACAAATGATGAACAGCAAATGAGAGATGATCAAGATGAAGTTGTTGGTCATATGGATGAAGATAATGAACTTCCCACTACTATTATTGATCAAACAGTGAATAAAATGGATGATGATAACAGTGAATCAACTTCGGCTACTGAAGAACAATTACAAACAACAAAACCAAATAATGATCAATCTATAAATGATTCATCTGCTAGTCCTATTCCTCGTGTTGTATCTGCTCCCACAATGCCAATAACTATTTCAAGAAATATTGATATACCGGGAAAAACTGATTCCAACATATCATTTTCAGTTATGGAAACTGGTTCACTAGGTAGCATTCGTTTACTTGAAAAGATTTATTTTCTTATTTATTTTCTTTTGTCATAGGAGCTGATTCAGCGTCACCATTGACAGCATCGAGTGTTGATAAGAAAAAACGTAATCGATGTACATGGCCATCATGTAATAAAAAACTTGGATTAACCGGTAAGAATTATTGATTCGAATTAAAATTTGAAAGAAAAAAAAAAAAAAACCTCTATCATTTCATTTAAGATATTCTAAACAATCTGGCTAAAAAGAATGAGATATATTCGATTTGTTGTAGTGAATCACTTGAGAATGACATTAATCCATAGTAACATTTTTTTAATTCTATCTAATAAAGTTATAGTGTAAGGACGACTTGTTTTGGTTCCAATACTGATAAAAAAACAAAAAAAATTTTTTTTTTTTCGTAATCTTAGCAACAAAAGTAGACCTTATAAATCTCTAATCATAAAATGCCTATATTTCTTTTTTTTTATTCGTTAAGGCTTTGATTGTCGTTGTGGTGGTCAATTTTGTCCAATACATCGTTATGCAAATGAACACGAATGCACATTTGATTATAAAGAATATGGTCAAAATGAAATTCGTAAAAATATGCCTGTTGTACAAGCTGAACGTGTCCGAAGAATCTAGAAAATAAAACCAATTAAAAGAAAAATCGAGACACAGAAAGACATTGTATACTTTATTATTTATTTCTGAAAAGCGAAAGAGTGTTTCGTTTTTTTTTTTTCTTTTTTTTGTTTGTCTTCTTTCACTTTCGTTTCTGTTCATATAAACAATTTTCTTTTTTTTTTTGTCTTTTTGCATATGTAGAAGATGCGTTCTCAATATCGCTTATTTACCGCGTTGGATTAACCTAAACCATACACGCACTCGTACAGTTTTTTCTTTTTCTTCTTTTCCTTCTATATGTGTGTACAAAGATTGAGTGGAGTGTGTGTAACATTCTTTTATAGAAAAAAAAAAAAACAAAAACATGCAAGATGAAAACAAAAGATATATTTAACAAGAAAAAAAAAATATCTGAGATAACTAAACGTAAATCATTGTTTTTAGATGGCTGGATTTGATAATGATGGTATATTTTTTTCGGATAATTTTGTTGATAATAATTTTGAACATGAGAATGAACTTAATCGAGCATTGATTAAAAAAAAATTTAAAATGTTTATTAGAGAATTTCATATAAATAATTTATTTATTTATCGGTAAATATATTATTGAAGATTTTAGTATAAATTGTTGATTAGATTTTTTGTACCTTTTTTTTTTTTTTTTTCAAGTGAAATGTTACGAAGAAATTATAATAGTCGACGATATTGGATTGATATTGAATTATGTCATTTAAGTGACTATGATGATAATCTTTGTGATCATCTTAAAAAACGACCAACTGAACTTTTATCATTAGTAAATGAAAGAAAAACAAAAGACTTTTTTTTGTTTTTCAATGCAAAAAAGAAAACAATTTTTTTTCTACATAGTTTGAAGAAGCAGCTAAAGAAGTAGCTGATGAAATAACACGTCCACGTCCCGATGATGAAATTGATATGCATGATATACAAATAATGTTAATGTATGATGCACATCCACTTCATCTCCGACATTTAAAAGTTTGTTATTATAATTTATTTCAATTTTTTCCATTGAAATTTTTCAGTCAGAATATGTATCGAAATTAATAAAAACTGTTGGTATTGTTGTTGGAGCAAGTAGTATAAGAACAAAAGCTTCACATATTGCTATACAATGTCGTTCATGTCGAAATGTTATCTCGAATATTAAAATTAAGCCTGGTTTAGAAGGTTATGCAATGCCAAGAAAATGTAATAGTATGTAAGTATAAAAGATTAAGTAATTCACTCTAGAGTTTTAATCGTGATCATCAATATCTTTCGAAGCAAAAAAAATATTTCTCATAAGAATTTGTTGATAATTTTCGTCTGTTTCTTTTATAAGGTCAATAAACATAAATCATCCTTTTTGAAATCAAAGAAGACGGAAAATTCGATTTGACATAATCTACTATCATGCATTAGAATATTCAAATAGGAACAAAGATAATAAAATCTATTCGAAGTATTTAAAATAAAATATTCAGTATTAACATAAAAACAATAGGTCAGCTTAACTTTTCCGTTAAGATAAGAAGCTTTCAAGTCAATCAATCGAACAAGTAGAATATTCAAAAAATCACATAAAAATAAATCATTGTCTCTTGAAAGCTCTGATCGAATCATAATAGAAAAGAAAAATTTGTTTATTAAATTTTACTATTCTGTCTGATCTTTTAAGAATCTTACACTGAAATCTGCGTATAGATTTTTCTAAAATGATAATTTTCAAGAGTATGTTGACCTGAATTGTATTGATAAATTTTCTATTGACATTATGATCATAGTCTGTTTAAAAAGTCAATGATATCATAAGTTCTACAGTTATTTTCTTCTAGAGTTTAAAAAAGAAATACATCTTATTAATTATCATTCGTTGGTTTTTTTTGTTTTCTAAAGAACTCAATCAGGTCAACCACCATGTTCACTTGATCCATATTTTGTTATGCCTGATAAATGTCAATGTATTGATTTTCAAATTCTTAAATTACAAGAAGCACCAGAATTTGTATTACATGGTGAAATGCCAAAACATATTCAACTTTATTGTGATCGGTAAAGTTATAAAAACAAAAATACTAATAAAAAAAAAAACATTCGCTTTCTTTTTTTTGCATCTTCAAGTAATCTTGTTGATCGTGCAATGCCAGGTAATAAAATTACACTTGTTGGAATTTATTGTATTAAACGAAATGTTCCATTGAATAAAGTAAAGACAAACAATTTTTGTTTTGTTTTATAATTTTAATTTTTCTTTGTTATTTGAAGATGCAAGGAAGAGAAAAATTAAATGTTGGTACACGTCAACCATATGTACGTGTACTTGGTATTCGTATTGATACAAATGGTATTGGACGTTCATCAGCTCAAACATTAACAACAAATGAAGAAGAAGAATTTATACGTTTTTCACATACATCTAATATTTATGATATTATTTCAAATAGTATTGCACCATCAATTTATGGTGTACATGATATAAAAAAAGCTATTGCTTGTTTACTTTTTGGTGGTTCAAGAAAACGGTTAGTTTAATTGAGAGAAAAAATATAATATTTATTTCTTTTTATTTTTTTATAGTTTACCCGATGGTTTATTTCGTCGTGGTGATGTTAATGTTTTACTTGTTGGTGATCCTGGTACTGCTAAATCTCAATTATTAAAATTTGTTGAAAAAGTTGCACCAATTGGAGTTTATACAAGTGGTAAAGGTAGTAGTGCAGCTGGTCTTACGGCAAGTGTTATTCGAGATCCGAATTCGAAAAATTTTGTTATTGAAGGTAAAAAAATAATTAAATTCATTTTTGTTTTCTATGATTCAAATCGAAGTGTATATATAGTTAAATTTTTTTTAATATACTATTTTCTTGGATCGGGTACATTGAAATTTTCAGAATATATTACAGCTAGAGAGATGTTCGGGATCAATTTTAGTCATAGGGATACAAGAAAAATGTTTTTTCAACTGACACTAAAGATTATAGGTAAATATTCTATGGTTGTTAAGCGAACTATCTTATAAATAAGATTTAACGAGACCAAGATCTGTAGTAAAGAAGCTATAGTCAAATTTTCAGCTCTATATTATGATGTTTTCAGGAGATATTCAATAAGTAAGAGTCTAAAATCTCTCATTTTTTAAATTCTTATTTTTTTATGCAGAGAAAAAAGATGGCGAGAGTTCAGTACCTTAAAAAATTCTCAAAAAATGATCATCTATTTCTAGAAATGATCTTTTTTTTTTTTTTATAATAATAACAAAGTTAAATTAAAAAAACAGACACTACACCTTTACATGCATTCTGAGATGCGCGATCAAATAAGTGTAAACAAAAAAGATTTCAATCTTTTTCTGAAAACTAAAGAATATTTTTCAAGCAAAAGGTGACGGAAATCAACGAAAAGTTTTGAATAAAACGAGGTACCAAATAAAAAAAAACCATGTCGTTTATGAGAGATCGAAGTTCAGATTATCATCCTATGTATTTATCTCAATTTCGTTTTTTTTTTTCTGATGAATATTGACTTTTTTGTTTTGAGAATCTTAATATTTAATATGATTATAGATCTATTCTGATGACACTAAGGTCTGTAAGTAATCTCCAGAAAAATACAACATAACAGAATAGAATAAATATTTATTAGAGTTAGACTCGTGCTAAGCGGCACAGAGACTTCACCTAATTGAATTTTTGAATATCATGTTTTAGTATTATCTATGCATCAATCCAATATAAATTTTACCAGTGAAGATAATTTCAAAGAAGATAATATTAGGAAACATCATAAGAATAGTCACAGATAAAGTAGTAAGAGCACTTTGGAACCCAATCTGCGAGATTTTGTAATAGTTTATTATTTGAGATTTATTGTTTATTTTCAAATACTTGGATCAATCTTTTGCAATATTATAACATATTTTACTGCACTAAAAGAAAACCATAGTCAGAAGGAAACACTCTGCATCTTGAGCTTAGGTTTTTTTTCGCCATAATCTTGCCTTCGTTTTAACTCTCATTTAGATACTTAATTTATCGTTCTTTTTTTAGTCTTGCATTTTATGCTAAAATGAATACCGAGATTCACAGTAATAAAAATGGAAAACATCCCTGGACTAAAATATATTATCATATCTGTTCTAATTATATAGTTATGTACTATTCCAGAGATCTCTTACTATCAGTTATAGATGTTAGTATTTGTTTATTCATAAAAAAGAGATATAAATGTTTTTAAAATAATCAATTAATTGATAATTATATATTTCATATTTAGTTGAATTAAAATAACTTCTATACGATATATGTATATATATAATATAATGAAATTTTAGGTGGTGCTATGGTATTAGCTGATGGTGGTGTTGTTTGTATTGATGAATTTGATAAAATGCGTGAAGATGATCGTGTTGCTATTCATGAAGCAATGGAACAACAAACAATTTCTATTGCTAAAGTAACGAAAAAATAAAAATAAAAAAAAATATTGAATATTTAATAAAGAACTCTATGATAGGCTGGTATCACAACAACATTAAATTCAAGATGTAGTATATTAGCAGCTGCTAATTCAATTTATGGTCGATGGGATGATTTAAAAGGCGATGATAATTTAGATTTTATGCCAACTATTCTTTCACGTTTTGATATGATTTTTATTATTAAAGATGAACATGATGAAAAACGAGATACGGTATGTGTAAAATTATGTCCTAGAATTCGATTGTTTATCAAGATTTAATTCATACATGAAATAATGTTTAAGTAACAAGTGAATTATAATGAATGAATGGCTGTTTTTTTTTTGTATTCTATTATATGTTTAAAAAAATATATATCATAAGATGTAATCGAAAAAACTCAACAATTGACAAAGAAAAGCATATTATATACACTTTTTGTGTCAAGAATAGACGAAAATTTTATTCATTGACGACGAATAACTTTCATAAGAACGTGATTAGGTACAAAGACGTGCACCTCCGGCATACATAATCTACTCTCAGGCAGCAAATTA